ATTTATACCTGCTTAAATCTAGTAGAATGAAAATTGAAAACAAAATTGGCAGATTCTAGATTAATTGTTTGGCAAATGGTAGGTCTAATGACATTTCTTTCATAGCGTAGCTGCCTTAATAGTATATCCATGACATTGAAAACATGATTTTGTAAGGGGTACATTATGAATGTATTATTCTAAACCCAGGTCTTCAATTAATCTTCAAACAATATTATTTTAAAAATTCCACTTTTTAGCTCACCGGAGCCGAAGGCTCAAGTGAGCTTTTCTGATCAAAATTTGTCCGTTGTCTGTCGTTGTTGTTGTTGTCGTTGTAAACTTTTCACATTTTCATCTTCTTCTCATAAACCACTGGGCCAATTTCAACCAAACTTGCTACAAAGTATCCTTAGGTAAAGGGGATTCAAGTTTGTTCAAATGAAGGGCCACGCCCTTTTCCAAGGGGAGATAATTATGAATTAGAGAAAAATTAATGGCATTTTTAAAAAATCTTCTTCTCAAGAACCACTGTGCCAGGAAAGATGAAATTCATGTGGAATCATCCTAAGGTAGTGCAGATTCAAATTTTTTCAAATCATGACCGGGGGTAGGGTGGGGTCAAAACGGCCGATCAAATTTTACATAGGAGTATATAGGAAAAATCTTTAAAAATCTTCTTCTCAAGAACCACTGGGCCAGGAAAGATGAAACTCATGTGGAATCATCCTAAAGCAGTATAGATTCAAACTTGTTCAATTCATGACCCCCGGGGGTAGGGTGGGGCCAGTATGTCCGATCAAAGTTTTACATAGGAATATACAGGAAAAATCTTTAAAAATCTTCTCAAGATCAATAGGAACAGGTAAGATGAAACTCATGTGGAATCATCCTCAGGTAGTGTACATACAAATTTGTTCAAATCATGACCCCCGGGGCTAGGGTGGGGCCATAATGGCCGTTTAAAGTTTTACACAGGAATATGCAGGAACAATCTTTAAAAATCTTCTTCTCAAGAACCATTGAGACAGGAAAGCTGAAACTCATGAGAAATTTTCCTCAGGTAGTGTAGATTCAAGTTTGTTCAAATCATGACCCCCAGGGCTAGAGTGGGGCCAAAATGACCGACCAAAGTTTTACATAGGAATATGCAGGGAAACCATTTAAAATCTTCTTTTCAAGTAGTTCAAAGCCATGATTATTAATATTTATATGGAATCATCCTCAGGTAGTGTAGATTCTAGTTAATTCGTTCAAATTATGATCCCCTGGGGTGTTAAAATTCAAGCCCCCCCACCCCCCCCCCCCCCCAGTAAAGTTAACTTTCAGTTCTGATCTGATATGTACTTTTTCCTAGCCGATGTGCTCAGGTGAGCGCTGTGGCCCCTGGGCCTCTTGTTATTATTATAGTATATTACATTAAATAGTTTTATCTAATGACACCATTCCATAATTTTACCTGACTTGTCGGCCAAATGATATCCCAATCAATATATTGGATCACATGACCCACTTACCTGCTTACCTGTGCAATATCTACTTGTCAGGTATTTTTACTTCCTGGTTTGAGTAATGGCGATTTAAATTATTAGCTTACACTGCCTAACATTCAAGAATTCCAAACTCATCAAAAAATGGTGTATTAATTAAAAGTGACAAGTATTCTAATGCAAGCCTTTCAGAATGCTTGTTACATGTACATGTAAGAGTATGGACGAATGCTCCAGGCCAGCAAAGATGATGGAAAATGGCAAAACGCAACTTCACGTTCCAGACATCGTCTCTAGAAGTCAAGGTCCAGATTCCGCATATAGCTCTCTCCGGGGAGGATCGTACATTTAGGCCGTGGTTTGCGACGATACGTTGCAGAAAGACCTCATATTTCCTAAAGTTTATGAAGCAGATATTTACAGGCAGTAGCACCTTTCTGTTCCCTTCTCATTCGAGTCACGATTTTGTTTTGACTTCCATAATGGCAGAGGACTTGTTTGAAGAGCAAGGAGGAAAATATTTGCCGATCGTTTCATTTCTAAGCAAGACAGATTATTGAATGCTATCTGACAGGTTTAAAATACTTGGCGACCTATTGCAGGTACATAATGAACGATAATGATCGACCTCATGGAATTAATAGGTCGTTCTCGAGACCTGAACCGAATTAAACATGCATGGGACATTCTTTAGCACTGCATTTCAACTGGTTTAACAATTCCTAAAATTCGACAGGATCTTCAAACAGCAGGAGGAATGGCAACAGATCCCTCAGGCTAGCCTTGCGACTGATGGGCAGCATGGATGGCACTGTATGGCCGTTATTGCCTATCGGGGAGATCTAGCTGCAGATCTGTAGCGTTATGGTTTTATATATTTGTTTTTGACCGTAACGCTACAGATCCCGTAATGCAAAAAAGGTGCAATTTACGGAGCAATATTTTTGCGCACTTTTGGGGAGAATTTCTCCACTTATACTAGCATTGGTCAATCAGCTACCTTTCACTCCCCAATTCTAGAAATATTTTGAGCCCAAATGTATATTTTATCCACCTCCCAACCATTTATAGTTGTCTCTACAGGCAACAAACTCGCTTGAAGTGAATGTTCAGCAATGTAACGAATAATTTTAATCAAGCAAATTTATCACTTGTAAAGACGACTATAAAGGGTTGAGAGACGGATAAAATATACAGATTAGTTAAATAATGTGCTTAGAATTAGGGAGTGAAAGGTAGTTGATTGATCAAAGCTAGAAAGTGGAGAAATTCTCCCTAAAATTGCGCAAAATATATTGCGCCGTAAATTGTGCTTTTTTGCATTACGGTATCTGTAGCGTTGTGGTCAAAGACAAATATATAAAACCATAGCGCTACAGATCCGCAGCAAGGGGAGATCATACAAAATACTGACAATCAATTTAACATCTTTTGACTTTTCTGAACAAATTTCTTATTTTCAGGTCTACATCCTACAGAATTACTGCAGTATCGTAATGAATAAGTAGTGGGTATTCAATTGAATATACTTATCGCATTTAATGTTTAATTTTCAAACTTTAAGGTAGTACAAAACACCTGTGAATTCTATTTTAACTCATTTCTTAAAAAAGGATAGGAGAAGAAAAAGAATAATATTATTACATGTATATTGACAACAATGAATGACCCCTGTTAAAAAAAGAATAAGTTGCCATATTTTCTTTATATTTTGTGGAAAAAATAAGAATCCTGTTTATTGGTCACTTTGGAGCTTACATTTTAAAATATGTTTACGCTATCTAAATGCAATAAAGAAGCATAAGACAGTTTGTTATTAAATGCAATGTAACTTTGATTCCGCAAAGAGTAGAGGGCTGATATTTGGACACATGTTCAAGAGTCTATATTCTTTATGAAAAATAAAGGTCAAGGTCATATGAAGAGGTCAAAGATAAAATTTTGGGACGTCATCTACTGAATCTTTTAGTTGTTTGTCATTGAATTTTTTTAAATCGCCAAAATGTTTGAAAGTAAAATTGAAATTACTGGTTCTAAGTCTAAGATATTATACACTGTACAGTGTATATGAATTCTCAATTCCAACGCTATTTACATAGACTTTATCACAGAAAGCAGAATTCAGTTTTAATTTAAGTATCATATTTTATATTTAAGGTAGGACACAATAGATGGCCAAATTTTTCATCAAATTCAATTTTTCTGAAACTTTGGTATTTTGTTCTAGAAATACAAAATGTCTTTTTTTTTTACATAATATGAAAGAATTTTAACCACACAATTTTTTGCCAACCTAGTTTGAAATTTGGCCTATCAGACCCTCGTAAGAAGATTTTGAAATCAGACATTCGACTTGAAAATGAGCCTTATTTTCAGATTTTCAATTTATCTTTTGCAAATTTGTGTAATACTGTTTATATAGATAACCTTTTTGTTACTTAAAATAAATAAGTTATATTGATACTTGAAAATTTGAGTATAAATATGACGTAAAAATAGAACATAAAACATATTTAATTCGATGATCCTTAAGTTTTTGCCCAGTATATTTTAACATTTTGATAATGTATAATCCAGTGAAAGAATCTGGCGTAAATATAAATAAACAGTATATCACAACAATGAAAATTGTTTGCCACAACTAATTTAAGTACTCGGGGGTCAGGAAAATTCCAACAGGTATGGAAAAAGGACAAACAGTCATGATGGTTTGTTTAACAAGGGTATCATATTGTTTTCGCGGAATTGTAGATAACTACAGCACTCCTGTAGAAAAATGTCTCCAGTAATAATTTACCATTTCTCTGATGACAAGGACAGTTCCATTTTAAGGAGGATCTGGAGATTTAGACAGATTTAAGTTCCGGTATTGTCGGTAATTCGACTGAATCCTCACACTATGATTCGGTCTTTTCTTTTCGTTCTGGCATCTATAAATGTGGAACCCATTGTCGGTAATTTTCATTTCTGACTTCAACGTTTGTTTTTTAAATTTTGGTGTACATAGCGCTGCTTAGACTGGAATCTTTGGTATTTAGGAAAGCCCCATGCAAGAGTCGACACGTGCACGACAAGAGGCGGGTCGTGCATTCGGTCAAATATCCATTGTGACGGTTACGTAGACCAGTATGCTTTAGGATGTAGAAAGAACGTCTGCTGCAAACCAGCGCCATCTACTGTGAATCCTGAGCCAGCACATCCAGGTTACCTTTTATCACTTAATGCGCAAGATGTAACCACAAATTGCATCAGTCTGATTAAAATCAGATTGGAATGGCATTATAATGGAAAAATAATTAATAAATTTTCAATGTGTGTCTTACGAGTTATGAAAGTGTCCTATACTACGTGTATATTTTTGGAGTTTATGCTTACTTTTTTAAGTTGGATTGGAGACTAATGTTACTGTATTTAATTGTTTTTGATACATTTCTATTTGTTTTAAGGCACGGACAAGTGCGGACTAATAACACGGGTACAGACACGCCATGTAGATCCGCGCCTAAGAGTGGTGGGCGGTGATCAAGCTTTGGATGGTGAGTGGCCTTGGCAGGTCAGTCTTCAGAATGACCGCGGACATTTCTGTGGAGGGACTCTAGTGTCTGACCAATGGGTTGTTACCGCCGCTCACTGTCTCTACGGGTAAGCCAGCGGTGTGCGAAATGCATCCTGATTATATAAGTTGATAACCTTAAAATTTCGAAATGGTTACTAGCAATATATATTTCTAATGACCAAATGTTTTCTAATCTATTGACAAGTTATTTGTTTTAAGCTGAATTCTTTGACAGACAATCTACTGTCGGTATTTATTTGCTTCTTGGCGAACATCATCAAGAATACACTTCGAACAACGAGCGGAATACAACGATCCAAAAAGTGATCATAGTAAGAATTGATTGTTGTGTAAATATCATTGTTTTTTTTATTTAGATAAAATCTTGTTTTTCGTTTCAATTTGGGAAATCTAAGAATAAGAAACGAAAAACAAAACCATAAAAGTACAATTATGTGTACATTTCACATAAAGAAAGTGTCATTAGACCTTGTCATTATCAAGACGTGTTGGAAATGTTTTTCTTTAACTTTTAGCACCCCAACTACTCCCCTGAACTAATAATATGATTACGTAAGTTTGGCTACATGCTTAAAGTTAATTTGTACAGGAAGGAAATGACAATGATAAGAACAAATATCAAGCCTTAAAAAAATACATGTAAATGAATTCAATGACTGTCCCTGTTCAGTTTCACAATAAAATTAATCTCAATGTATGCTCTCATTTTTTCCCTTGGAGTTCCTTTGCATTCTGCAAGAGATTTCAAAATTTCTCTATCTTGTGTCGGCATAAATATGTATCAGTATAGAAGCAAAATTTCATTTCTCTCTGTTTTCTTATCCCATATTTCCAACTAGCGTTAATGCCCTGGCATACCCAACAAACTATAGACGATGATTCCTTACAAAATTTTCTATCATGGTAGCTAGACATTAAATCAAATTTTGGTGAAATATCTATAGTTACTTTATAAATTTTGTCTATTTCACTCAGATACCCAGTATGTCCTTGTTGTTCTGGACACTGGAGACAAGGTATACCACCGCTGGACATTTGACCAGGAGAACCTGCTGTTCTACAAATCCGTCCCGGACGCGGGTTATGCAGCTTTACCTGTAGGAACACTGGTCAGAAGAGGTAAATCATATGGCATTGGTCAATGTTTTGTGGCATAGAAACTTAAAACTAACCATAGAATGTAGCAAATTAAGACATCAAATTGTAAATTATACATGAAGTGAATTTTGATTCACTTTTCTGTATATATTTTTTTTTTGGATTGGGTGTAATAAAAAAATTTATAATAAAAATTTTTCAAATTATATTGGTCTGTAATATTGATGCAGTAATAACTTTATTATTTAAAACACTTTTGCAGGCAGACATTGGAATTATGACAACCAAGATGGTGGTCCAGATGAAATAGGGGTTGTCATCATCAACAAAGATGGAGGACGGCTAGTCAAGGTATGTGAAAACCACTGTGAAATGCAATCAGACATTTTGAATGAACTCTAAAGATAATGAACAGTAGACCATTAAAACAACAGAGCAAATACAGACATCTTAAACATCAGAGGTGGGATCAGGTGCAATGAAGGAGTAAGCTCCCTGTCAACCAGGCACATCTGCAGAATGCTCCTTGTCAGGTTTCATCAGATGGAGGGATATTCAAATTTTTCTTGAAACATGTTAAATCCTAATTCTGTTTTTTGTTAGTAGAGGATGGTTCTGTTTTCTTTTTTTTTTCCAAAAGAGAAAAAAAACAGATTTTAGGTTGATAAATTGCAGAAATTACCCTGAAATTTTTTTTCCATATACAAAATACTTGTACCTTACTTCTTTTCAAACAAACAACATTTATGTAATATGATATTGTTTGTTAAAACTTGTCAGATTAAAATTGATTTACAAGGAATATACATTTTAATTGTTATAGCGAAAACTGGGGGGGGGGGGAGTCTTTATCATTTATTATTTTGTAGTATTAAATGTAATACTCTTTTTTTTAACTGTGTTGTAAAGTGTTCAATAAAATATAAATGTCAATCAAAAATTAGGGGGGGGGGGATTTACATTTTATTTACACTTTTATATAGTGACTAGTTAGATATAATCTTTTATGGATAACATTAATTTTTTTAAATTTCTCCTTACAACAGGTATGCTGGCGTTCACCTTTCGCTGCACATGAATTGAATGTTTACAGATACGGAGATCAAGAAAGATTCGACATTGACGTTGCGTAAGTTTAAGAGATGTGTCTGTTGATTAATTATTTTGAAGCCTTATCTCAAAAATAATACTTTTCAAGACATATATTTTTGAGGGGGCATAGAAAAAAATTGCCTTATTAATGTATTTCTCGTAATCGGTGATATTTATTACCGTTTTTTTCTTTGGTTTTCCTTTGCAGAGAATCTCCACTCATTGACTTGGAAAACTAATTGGTAATAATTAATCATTTGTGCATTATATCAATAATGAAACATTATTTATGATACTTAAAAGAAGGACTAAAAAAGTTATAGGGGCCTTCACCGAGAATTTGGTAGTATATATTGTAAGGGGGGAGAGGGGATGTAATTCTTTAGTTAAAAACAGATATTGACTTCTGATTGTATCAAATACTGTAAATTCCTTTTTTTCGCGAAGACTCTAACGTCAAACCACAAGAGTTATAATTCACGAATGGACGTTTAATCAGGAGAATTTATATAGATTTTAGCACTACATAAATAAACACGAGTAATATTTTTTTGCAAGTGACGCTTCTCGTGAAATTATGCGGAAATTAATTCCCTGAGTATAATAAGGAATCTACAGTAAATTTACATGCACGTGTAGCAAGACTTTGCACAATTTATAAATTTCAATTGGTCTTTTCAATAGTTTTCAATGTATAATCACAAATATAGTGGGCTTTTTATTCTCAATGGGAAGTTGAAACATCTCATTAATTACCCAGCATTTACTTCCCTTTTTAGCTCACCTCGACGAAGTCGAGATGAGCTTATGCTATACCCCCGGCGTCGGTGTCGGCGTTAGCGTCGGCGTCCCAGGTTAAAGTTTTAGGAGCAAGTCCATTCCCAAGTAACTATAAGCCCTACCTGAACCAAACTTGCATGGATGATACATCTAGGGATGTACACTACCAGACTTGCTTCGGATGCTGGATCTTACCTACATTTTCTAGATGAGTGCCCAGGTTAAAGTTTTTGGAGCAGGTTAAAGTTTTTGGAGCAGGTCCATTCCCAAGGAATTATAAGACCTACCCGGACCAAACTTGCATGGATGATGCATCTACGGATGTACACTACCAGACTTGCTTCGGATGCTGGATCTGACCTACATTTTCCAGATGAGTGACCAGGCTAAAGTTTTTGGAGCAGGTCTATTCCCAAGGAACTATAAGCCCTACCTGTTCCAAACTTCATTGGATGATGCATCTAGGAAAGGACACTACAAAACTTGCTTCGGATGCTGGATCTGACCTACATTTTTCAGATGAGTGACTAGGTTAAAGTTTTTGGAGCAGGTCCATTCCACAGAAACTATAAGCCTTATTTGGACCAAACTTGCAAAGATGATGCATCTAGGGATGGACACTACCAGACTAGCTTTGGATGCTGGATCTGACCTACATTTTCATTCCCAAGTAACTAGAAGCCCTTTTTGGACTAAACTAGCATGGATTATGTATCTAGGGATGGACACTACCAGACTTGCTTCAGATGCTGGATCTGACCTACATTTTCATTCCCAAGTAACTATAGGCCCTAGCTAAACCAAATTTGCATGGATGATGTATCTAGGGATGGACACTACCAGACTTGCTTCAGATGCTGGATCTGACCTACATTTTCATTCCCAAGTAACTATAGGCCCTAGATAAACCAAACTTGCATGAATGATGTATCTAGGGATGGACACTACCAGACTTGCTTCGGATGCTGGATCTGACCTACATTTTCATTCCCAAGTAACTATAAGTTCTACCTGAACCAAACTTGCATGGATGATGCATCTAAGGATGGACACTATCAGACCTGCTTCGGATGCTGGATCTGACCTATATTTTCCATACAAGAGACCAGGTTAAAGTTTTGGGAACAGATCAAGTCCTTGATATCTGCAGTATTAACAAAGTTATGAATATTTGTCAACACTTTACATGTTTTTCACGCTACACACGTAGAAATGTGTATATGCCATGTAAGGGGTTAAACACAACTTGCAAGAATATTGTTGTTGGGATGAATACTAAATATTAAGAAAATATGATGTGAGATTTCCATTACATAAACTGATAACATTCGTCGAGGTGAGCTTCGTAATCTTTAATTACCTATGTTTTAGTATATATACAGATTATATATAATTATCCTCAGATTCAGGGTCACCGCGGTGGAAAGTCTGTGATGAGACAGGAAATTGCTGGCCCCTGACGGGACTTAGTGCCCTGGAACTACAGGACAGCATGGCCCTCAAAAAGACCATACTGACCATGCAGGGGGGACATACTCAGTACGTAGATATATATATCTAATGTTTTGTAGAAATATTTCTAATGTTACGTAGAAATATATTTCTAATGTTACGTAGAAATATATATCTAATGTTCCAGTAATATTTCCACATTTTGTCAGTAGATTTACTTGTACTTATTTTAACTGGAGGATCCAAATATTAAAGGAGAGGAGATGAAGTGATCTTTCATTTAATTGTGACTTTTTTTTCTTTAGGGGGAAATTTAGGCTGGAAGGGGACAAACTGACAGACTTCAACACACACAAGACTTTATGGATAAGAAAGATAATGAAAACATGAGGATTGATCTTCCTAGAGGTTTGTCATAAGCTGATATTTAAAACAAATTTAAATGAAAATCCAATAAAATCTGGAAGGAGTGCCATATTTAGTGACATATTTTCATATATTTGCCACATATTTTAAGGAATAATATTACAAGATATGATTACTTGTTGTAGATGGAAATGTTACGGTTTTGAAGAACATGACAGAAATGGAGTTGTGACTGCTTTTTCTATATTTGCTACGCATTTAATACATGTACATCATTATCAAAACATTGAAATTGTCAATGTGAAAAGTATTTTTAAAATAAAGTATGTCAAACTTTATGACAGTTTTTATATTAAGCATGGAATTAATATTTCTGACATGCATTGTTTCATATAACTATATGACACTGAAATCTGTGCTGATAAATTAAATAACGCTTGTTCTTTTTTTTTTTAATGAAATCTTTAAAAATATTAAATATGTGATACCTTTTAGTATTCTGAGAAAGGGGAGAAAATGTGCATGTTTTAATTTAGGGAACAACTATATTTTTATTTGGCATTTGCAACTGTTAATGCTGATTTAACTGTCACAAACTGAGTTTCACCAGCGACGCGTAAGTGGAGCCGGTAAAACAGATGTTTGTGACTGTTTAATCAGCATTAATGGTCGCAAATACCAAATAAGATTAGTTATTCCAATTCTAATGCAAACTATGCATTATGTTCGCTGTTTACATCTTATTTTGT